ATTCACCATTTGGTCCGTTCCTGTACAACAGCGAAGGCTTGATGGCCTGATAGTTCAACATTGGAACAGACTTGATGAACCCATCTAATAGGGATTCTGCCTCTGGGCCGTCTTCACCCCTTGGTTGGTGGAATTTTATCCCGGATGTTACAAGCCACCCGGACAATGACATTTGCTGGAACATCTTGCGGCGCCCTTGTGACATGTCTGAAAAATGTAAGGCGCTCCCTGCAGACAAAGGCCCCAGTATTCTGTAGACCCAAGTGACCATAAACATCTGCATTATAGATGAAGTCATTCCACTTTATTCCCAATACATGATGCTGACATTGTGTGGAAAGCCTCCAGCTTTGTCCAGTCTGAGTGGTGTAGTGTCCATTTTTCACATCTGTACACCAGTATGGGAAGGATACAGCTCAAATAAATCCTGAACTTGGTTGTCATACTAAGATGATGTTGATTCCATATCAGTTGTAAACAGCCCATGGCAGATGCTACGATACCAATCTGATGGAGAAACTCTGTGTGAGAATTGGAGGAACAGGTAAGTATAGAACCCAGATACCAAAAGCTGGAAACTGATTAGATGGTTTCATTGTTCAAAGAGATTGGAGTCACAGATGGACCTGGTCCTAGACTTTGCAGTTTTTTCTTTGACCATGAAACACGGAGGCCAGTCTTAGCTGACTTCTCCTCCATATGCTGGAGTGCCTCACAAAACCTGTCGGGGTTCTGTACTAAAAGAACAATGTCATAAGTGTAGTCAAGGTCGGTGAGCGAGAGATTACCAATCTCAATGCCTATGGACCTGACGGAATGCTGCATTATGAAATCCATTGCCCAACAAAAAGAGTGCAGGGGCCAGAACGCAATCCTGCCTAACACCAGATACTGATTTAAAAGGCGCTGACATCTGGTTCCCCAGACAGACAAACATGGGCAGTGGTTCCATTATGTAGCTCTCCAATCAATCCAGCAGAGTGGTAGAGACGCCTATGCCCTTTAAGGACTTTCATAACGTGATATGGTCTATGGAATCAAATATAGTCTTAAGTTCGACATACATCGCAAGTTCAGGAAGCCCCTGCATGTAGTGTATCTCTGTCAACACGTGAACGGCCAAAATGGCATCTAATGTGGACCTGTTCCTCATAAAGCCCGACTGCTGGGGATGATGCTTCCAATGTAGCAAAGGCTCCAGGCGTACCAGAAAAACATGCACAAACACCTTCCCTGGAATGGAGAGCAAGGCGATCAGCCTACAGCTCTTACATTCACTGTGCGGTCCCTTGCCTGTATACAGTGAGATCACAATGCTGTCCTTCCAGGCATTTGGCAGGGTTCCAGTTCTCCACACCAGATGAAAGCTGGCCAGAAGTGATTCTGCTACAGGATCAATAGCACATTTTAGCACCTCTGAGGGGATGTGATCAGCACCGGCTGCACACCCATTTTTCAGTTTAAATACAGCACACTTCACTTCATTCAATGTTGGTGCATCAGTACAAATGTCTGGATCTGGAACTGCAGTGGCTGCCAGATCATCCAGCTCTGAACAAGTGGCAGCTGAAGGATGGTTCAGGACACTAAACGTTCCAGCCAGTGAGAGAATCTCATCATCCAATTTACATGGATGGCTTTGGCTGTCATTCAGGATGCCGTTTGTAGTTGACTACCTCTTGACCACTGAGGTTGTGAATGGTGAGAAATGCTGGCTTCAAGTCACCCCTGGCTAAGTCAAATTCGACATCATCCAACACTTGGTTATACTGTGACTCACGATCGCGGAATGCCAGGGTATTAAATTTTCTCTTCAGCTGATTATGACTATGCTTATCACCATGCTGATAGACTGCAGCCTTCAATATAATTATCTGGAAGGCCTCCTCCGATAGCCATGGTCAGCAAGCTGGATGCCTACAGGCAATTGTCTGCTCAGCAGACTGGTTGAGCGTAGAAGTGAACAGGGATCAGGCAACCTCCATGTCATCTGGCAGACTAGTTAGAACTGAGAATCTGTTGCTGATGCCAGTACAAAACCTGTTGGCTAAATCTGTAACACAGAATGTGTCGATGTCAAACTTCTTCATCATCGCAGAGGGTTTACCTGCTCATTGGAACATCAACATCATATGGGGGACCACTAGATGGTGATCTGTGTTTGCCATGCATTCCATACCACCATATACTTGTCACGCAATTGGCATCTCTTCGCCACCTGCAATGATGTGGTCCAACTCCTTCCAAGTGATGCCATCACGAGAGATCCATGACATCTGGTGTATGTGTCACTGCTTGCACCATTACCCAAGAATGGAAAGATTCTGCGGGGCACAGAATGTAAGCAAGTGGCGAGAGTTATCACTCGTTGTGCCTGAACCATAATGACCAATGACTTATTCAAATCCAGTTCGCAGGGAGCCAGTATCTGCATTTAGGTCACCCAGGATCATGAGATTATCATATGGAGGGACTGTACATACTAGATGTTCCAATTAATCACAGAAATGATCTTTAACTGAGTCAGATTCCTCTGTCGGCACATAGACTAGTATGAAAGTGATGTTACTGTGCCGATGTTTAAGATGTGCCATAAGTAAATGAGGAGACATGGGTGTCCAAGTTGTCAGGGAGGACTTGGCCTCGCCTCGCAGTCGCAGTGCTACCCCATATAAATGATTGGGGCTGCCAGAATACAGAAGTAATCTTCCACTTCGTGACATCCGTAATCTATCAGCCTTGCTTCTTAGTCCTGCGACTGATATACCAAGACGGTCCATTTCACATTAGACAGTGACCTGATGACCATGCCTGTGAAGAGTTCCAACATTCCAAGTTGCAATTTTGGTGGACTGCCAGAGATCCCAGATACTACTGGATGCATTGTCACCATGTACTGCAGACGAGCCTGCTGACATCAGAGGACGCACGTCCCCAGGGGGGCTTTGACACAAACCTGTCATGTTTGCACTGAGGGGAGATGGCACCGACAAGGCATCTACAGCTGAAAATAAGGCACGGGCTTTAACCCTGGTGCTGAGTACTAGATTATTCATGGTCAACAAACAAGAGCGAACGATTATCCAGGGAAATACCTCGTCCCACTGGGATGAGACTGAGGCGCAGTAACACGACCCTTTTCCTGGTCTACCAGTACTGGCTTCACACTGTGTAACCTGAGCCGTTGAGTCTCTCAGTGACTTCCTTCACCTCAGGTAGCTAGGTGCCCTGCATCTTCGCAACCTGTGTTAGCCATCATTTTCAGGGTTCATGTTAGATCTGTCCACCTTCACATAATACCCAACGTGATATTTTGGACAAGCCTTCATCACTGATGGCATAGCTCCAACAAGCAACCCCCAACTTCAGATGTTACACCCCCCTCCGTCACCATGAGGTACAGGTCGGACTTGGGGGGAGGGTCTTCTCTAAACTACAGTCTCAATCTTGTCACCTTTTGGTATCTTGTGACACAATTAAGGTGGGCCCCATCCTGTGCAGGGCAAGTGTGCATTCCTTCCTCGGGGAATAGGGGCAGGTGCATGTGCCCTACATGCCTATTTACCCCAACTCAAGTCTGCACATCTGGGCTTAGCTGTGGAGTAGAGTTGCCCAATGGACAGAGTCTATGCAAACACCCTGCTCATTCAGGGTAGTACAGCCTAGCAGCTGGAGTCCATGAAACATCCCTACAGTGTGGGTCCAATGGCCAGAGTTCATGGGGGCCGCTGGCAGGAGGGCTGGTGGCCCAGATAGAGGGGCCCAGGCCCACCCAACTCCACTGGGCCCTGATCCAGGATATTAGTATCAGTGGAACAATCAGCTAACTGCTCAGCAGGGAGTCCCACCAAAACACACCAAGCGTATCTTGGTGGGAGATACCACTGCGACACTGCCCCAGGTCACTTCCTACCACAGTCTCGGGCGTTGTAGTCCAGGAGGCTTTGGGACCTCTTAGTTCCCCAGCACTGGCCGCTCCCTGGGGCTCCATGGGCTGCTGGGGTCTGAGGCGAGGGTCCCCATCTCCATGTTCCTCTGGCACAGGCTAGAGGCCATCCTTAGCAGGCACTCCTAGCACACAAACTTCCCCACGAGCATCTCCTCCTGACCGAGCTGGGCTGCTCTCTTTTATGCATAAGCTCCTTCCCATCCAGTGCGGGGCAAGTGCGCCCCGTCACATACCTCTAATAATATATCTCATCTCCAATCCCCCTGTATTTTTGCTATATCCTTTTGGAGATGAGGTGACAGAACTAACACACAACTCCAGGAAAGAGCATCACATTGATTTATGTAAAGGCATTATCACTTTTTCAGTATTATTTTTAATCCTATTCCTTATGTATTCTAACATTATGTTTGCTTGTTGATTGAGCAAAGGTTTCCATTACATTGTCTACTTGTATACCCTGGTCTTTTTCCTGAGTGAATACAATTAACTTAGAACCCGGTAATGTGCATGATTAGTTCCAGTTATTACTTCCAATATGCATTATCATGCATTTGTCACCATTGAGCTGTGGTCTGCCACAAGCATGAAATCAAGACCCTGCAAATAATCTTATGAACCTCTGCAGCCTCAAACGTTTCCACCAAAACTGTTCTTTGCTATCTCCTCTCCAAAGGGAAGTGGCCCAATATTTCAATTTGAAAATCTGTTCATGTTAGCTGTATCTTTGTAGTAAAATCCCATGACCTTTCGTTAATAATCTGAAAGTCAAAGTATGTTCACTGAAACCTTCACTAAGGTTTGCAAAACTTGTAGGAGAACTGAGGATAAGTTTTTCATAAACCTTGATGGAGTTTCATAAAGAACCACTTCCTTCCTCATGTGTATTAGAAAAGTTCTCTAAAAAGTGTGTAGGTTGGGTGTGGGAGGTGTTAAACACTGTGGTACAAGCCAAGCTCAGCTCTGAGAATTTCCATGTATTCATTCAAATTCTAAAATCTGGGTGAAACTCAGAAGGTGCAAGCACAGGATTAAATAAAACAACCACAAAAAAGGTCCTTGACACTTTTAACACTTTAGCACAGATTTAAAGAACACACAAGATGAAACCTTTTAGTTTCCCACAGCTCTGCCAATGCATCTTTACCAGCTCTAACATTTCTGGCAGTGTATTTTTAAAATAAGCAAGCAAAGATTACAAATTTGTTGTCACGTATTTTCATGGAAAATATTGCTGTTTATTTTCAAGACTTAAGTGTTGACTGACTTGGAGTTTTGCACTCATGATTTTTTTCCTTCAAATCCTCAGATTCTATTATTTATTCAAAATGTAATGACTGAAGAAATCAAGATTTGTAACAGATTCAGAGATAAAACCCTAGGGGTCAAGGTTATGCACAGACAGTGTGGGTGGGTAACAGGCAGAAAGCTAATGTTGTTTATGTTTAAGTCTATGAGTCTTTCACAGAGGTCACAGAAGTCACGGATTCCGTGACTTTCTGTGACCTCCATGACTTCTGCAGCTGCTGGCTCAGGGGCTGCCCAAACCAGACAGCCCCAGAGCCAGCAGCAGCAGTTTGGGTGTGTGGGAGGGGGCGATGGCCAACGGGTTGAGGAAGGGGCATGTCCCTGCAGCTCCTAGGTGGAGAAGGGGCCAGAGGAAGGCTCCGCGCTGCATGCTGCTCATGCCCACGGGCCCCTCCCCATCAGCTCCCATTGGCTGCGGTTTGCAGCCAATGGGAGCTGCAGCAGCTGGTGCTTGTGGCAGGAGCAGCGCACAGAGCCTCCTGACCCCTCCGCTGCCTAGGAGCTGCAGGGACGTGGAGCCAGGTAGGGAGCCCCTGCCAGCCCCGCCAACCCTTCCCCCCCCAGCAACAGGGAGGGTCCCGGGCCACACTGCCTGGCCCCCACCCCCAGCGGGGTGCCCTGGGCCAGTTCCCCCAGCACCCGCAACACCCCCAGAGTGCACCCCCCAAAGCACCCACAGTCCCCTGCCCAAGTTTTAGTCACGGGTATTTGTAGTAAAAGTCACGGACAGGCAGTAAACAAAAATTCACAGTCTGTGACCTGTCCGTGACTTTTACTACAAATAGCTGTGACTAAAAGGTAGCCTTATTTATGGTGCCATCAGCCACCCTAGCGGGTGTGGAGCAACAAGTGGGCCTGTTGTTGAGACCTGGTCTTCAAACCCAAGTGGAAGAGCTAGCCCAGAAAGGGGGTGGTGCATGCGGCAGCTACTTAATCTGTGGCATTGTGTCTCGCTGTGCCATCCTGCTGGGGGAGTCTTGTTCCACATCACCTTGTACCCCTGGATCCTTTGCACTAGGACAAAGTAGCCCAAGGGTGATGATAATCAGCTCCACTCCACAGACAGGAACTTTGCTGCAGAAGATGTGGTCCAGGCTGTACTGCAGGACTGTGCTCTAGACTCTTAGCTGCAGCATCCCTGCTGAGAAAGAGATGGTTGAGTAGTTAAAGGGGTAACAGATCCCGAGCAATGAGGATCCAATCCTCCTAGGATCCCTTATGATGATGCCTATCTGTGGCAGGGGTGGTGAGCTGTATGGGCCTGTGGTGCTCCAGCAAATTCATGGCCCGGCTCCACCAATGTTCGGGGCCAGGTCTCTCTCCTGGCCCTGCCTGCCGCCCATGCATGCCCCCTCCCCCGAGCATTCCTGCCAGCCCTGGGCAGCAGGCAGCTTCCCCCTGCAGCTCCACACTGCGCTTCCTTGCCAGCTGCTGCTGGCTGAGGTGGCTGCTGCGCCTGTGGAGGGAGGAGGCGCATAGCAGCCCCCCGCCCTGGCAGGCAACTCTGAGTCCACTCTGAGGGAGGTGGGGGGCTTATCCTGGCTGGACATTCTGAGCAGCAGCCTGCGGGGGCTTGAGTGACTGTTGTGCCGGGGAGGAGGGGGCAGTGAGAGCCCTTCCCCCCCCCCCCCAGCTCACTACTGCCAGCAGGGAGAGGGCTGGGAGGAGTCCTCCTGTCTGGCCCCCGTCCCCAGCCCCGGGGCAGCCTGCCTGCTGCACCCCAGACTCCTCATCCCCAAACCCTTTCCTGCACCCCAAACCTCTATCCCAGCCCAGAGCCCGCACCCAACCCCCTCCCAGAGCCCACACCCAGCACCCCAACCCACCTCCTGCACCCCAACCCCTTGTCCCAGGCCAGAGCCTGCACCCAGCACCCAAACTCCCTCCCGGACCCACATCCACACCCCAACCCACCTCCTGCACCCCAACCCCTTGTCCCAGGCCAGAGCCTGCACCCAGCACCCAAACTCCCTCCCAGAGCCCACATCCCTCCTGCAGTCAAACTTCCACCCAGCGCCTGCACCCCTAACCCCCTCTTGCACTCAAACCCCCTCCTGCAATCCGACCCCCTGCCCCAGCCCAGACCTTGCATCCAGCACCCAAACTTCCTCCCCGAGCCCTAGGCAGGTGTGGTCGGGGGGAGGGACTTGGACTCGCTCTGGGCGCCACCAAAAATTATACAAACCTGCCGCTCCTGCCTGTGGGGACAGGGAGGCACCCGCTTCCCCATTATGGAGCCGCCCTACGCTGGCCACAAGCCCCAGCAGCTGCACCCACAGCTCAGCCCGGTACGGGGCGGAAGGCGGCTGCTTTCGTCGCCACTCCTCACGACCGGGCCAAGCAGAGGGGGCGGGGCCGGCGTCCCCAGCCCCGCCTCTTTTCCCGGGGACTTCTGCCGCAGCCGCGGGAGCGGCCGGTCAGCTGAGAGGCGGCGGCGGCGGCGGCTGCAGTGCGGGGTCCGGAGCCCAGCTGTGCTGGGGGCGGGGCGCTGGGAGGCAGAGCTGCTGGGGCCCGGTAAGAGGCGCCTCGGGGAGCCTGGGGCGCAGCGGGACTCGCTTTTCCCAGGGGGCGCCGCCCTGTTCCCAGCCGCTCTGCGGCAAGGGGGGCAGCCGGGGCCGCCCTGCCCGCCAGGCGAGCCCCCAGGACTGCCCGCGGGAGAGGGAGGGGCCGCGCTGAGGCGGCGGCGGCGCCCACGGGAAGGGCTTAGTTCCGCGTTCCCGGGGCCCTCAGCCCAGTTGCTGCAGTTCCGTGCGCCCTGCCTCTCCCCGCAGCCGGCTGGAGAGCGGGCAGCCCTCGCTCTGCTGGCGGCCCCGGGAGCGTGGAGCGGGGCAACCCCCGCCCCAGCCCTCCACCTCTCGGCCTGTTTTCCCCGCGCCGGGAGTGGCCCATGGCCGGAAGGTGCCGTGCACGCCGAGCGTGCTGGACGAGCGACGCGTTCGGGGGCGGGCAGGGCTTGTGAGGTGCGGGCGCGTGTGCGCCTCCTACTTCCAGACAGACCGGCTTAGGACACGCCAAGCCAAAGCACCCCCACCCCACCCCCTTCTGCCTCCTTTAGCAGCCCTGCCGTTGTTGCGAGGGTAGAGAATTGCGGCGTTCCTGTCTTCTGCCTGCGCCAGGCGCTTCATTGGAATCATGAGTCCAGTGCTACCCCCAAAGCTGCTTGACCGTGGGACTTCTGCCTAAATCTTGCCCTGCTCTCCTGCTGCCTGGCTTCTGCTATAGTCTTAACCAACACACACATCCTTGTAGGTATCCCTTTTTAGGGGTTGCCTACACAAACAGTTTTCAGCAAGCTGGAGCATAAAGCTGCCTTGCAGTAGCCTACTGCGCACCAACTGCCTGTGCGGGCACGAAAGGGTTCATTGTGTACGTTAATCTGCTTCCGTTTCAAAGTGGGATAGAGCAAAGCGTACAACTGAGTTTTTAGTATGCAGCAGCAGGGTCCACATTGTGCACGGCAGGCTAGCGTGGTGTGGGTTTACACCCCAGTTATCTGCACTTATTTTGAAGCAGAGTCCTTTTCCCTTTTTCCCCTACTTCCCCTTCACCCTCTTAAAAGCAGGCATTGTAGTGTTCTTGGGAAGTTGCTGGACTCTCTGTGTGCAGGAAGTTAGCATGTGAAAGCCTGAGGAAGAGAATCCTTCATCTTGTGCTCGTTATCACATTCAAGATTTGTGGTGTTAAGCATACATTTTTGTGTAAATAAGCTAATGTGCTCAAAGTCTGCTTGGCCTGTTGTCACATAAGATAATTTGTGATATGTTGCAGCTATCTATGTTCCTACAGAGAGATGGGGGTCTTGAATACATTCATAGATTCCAATGCCAGAAGCACACAGTTGTTTTCAACCAGAGAGAAACACAGGCCGTAGAATTTCCCCCAAATAATTCCTAGAACATATCTTTTAAATTAGAAAAACAGTCAATCTTAACTTTAAAATTTTCAGTGATGAAAAATCCACCCTGGCCCCTTGGTAAACTGTTTCAATGGTAATTACTCTCACTGTTAAAAAATTATGCCTTATTTCCTGTCTGAATTTGTCTAGGTTCAACTTCCATTGGATCATGTTGTTTTCTTTGCTTGATTGAAGAGCCCATCATTAAATACTTGTTTCCCCATGTAGATATTTACAGACTGTAACCAGGTCACCCCGTAACCTCTCTTTGTCAAGCTAAATAGATTAAATTCTGTAAATGGAGTCATAAAGTGTGCTGAGGGTATACTCTTTCCTTAATACTATGTCTTCAAAGTAATGGTTTTGTTCTTCTGTTACTTCGGGTTGTTTGCCCCAAAGTTTATAAATTTTCCTCTTGAAGAAGCTAGTGTCACATTTTATTTAAATAGCTTACTTTGGGGACAGTTTTCTGCTGAATTGTTCTTTATTTATATTGTAGTAGTTTCCAGAGGCCCCATGGGGGCCCAGTTGTGTTAGGTGCTGTACAATTAGCACAATATTTGGTGAATTTTAATACAGATGATATTCAGTGGTCCTTGTTAGTGCCTAATTCCTTACATGCATGAGTCCTGTTGTTTCAGTCCTGGGCTATTTCTGAGTAAAACATATTAAAGGAGATGGAAATATTATAATTAAGGCTACAGTTTAGTCACGGGTATTTTTAGTAAAAGTCATGGTCAGGTCATGGACAATAAACAAAAATTCATGGCATGTGACCTGTTCATGACTTACGTTATAAATACCCCTGATTAAATTAAAAGCCGCACCGGCTCCTGCTCACTTGGTCCTGGGGACTGTCTGAGTAGTGGCTGGTGCAGCTGGCCCCAGGGCCGCTCCAGCAGCGGCTGGTGCGACTGGCGTTATTGGGAAAACCTGGCAACTGGCTGCAGAGCTGTTCCAGGAGGAGCTGGTGTGGCTGTCCCCAGAGCCAGCTGCTTGGGGGACCCTAGGGTCAGCCACACCGGTGGCTGCAAAAGTCACGGAATGTCACAGAATCCGTGACCTCCATGACAAACGTAGAGTCCTAATTAAAACACATATACCCATAAAACTATAACTTATTTTACTTAATTGACTGTGCAAATTAGGTCCATCCTTTAGGCTTCTGGCATGATGCTAATATGACCTTGGCTGAAAAATTTGCGCACCTCTTTGCTACAGTACGAGAAAAGAAAAATTGACAGTATCTAGAAACAAAAGTTAAACGTGACTGGTTTTATTGTCCACTCTGAAATGCAAATAAGTAAACTCCGTGTGTGTGTTTTGTTTTGTGTTTTGTTTTTTATGGGAAAACCTCAGAGCAAATGTTCATTAAATGGATATATTCATTAGTTACCAGGATAAGTGTACAAACAGTGCAAAATACTCAACACACCCGACCAATTGAGCTGCAATGTATATATCTGGACAAGGATTACTGACATGATTCACAATTGCATTAGTTGTTGAAGGAGAACAAAGTGTCTGAGCCTGGTATTATCTAAACAAATGCTGCTAGTAAAAATAATCAATTCTTAAATACCCTAAACTGAAACTGAAAGTAAGTTATTCTGAAACAATTTAGTGAGGCTTCCCCTAAATGCACAAAATGGAAACCATATCCTTCCATAAAATATTTTGTTTCCCCTCATGTTTTTCATGTTTAGCTATTTCCAATAAACAGTTACTTCCATGACCCACATTGAGGACAGGTGGGGTTTTACATGTTAGCAGAACTAACTTTTTAATCTGAGGAGGAGCTCTTAGAAACAGACCTTATTATACTTTATTATAGTATTTCTTAGAGGCCCTAATTGTGATCAGGGCCCAACTACGCTAGATGGTGTACAAATATGTACAGACATTATCTGCTTCAAAATGAGTACGGGATAAGAAATCTGATACTGCAAGATAAACTGCAGGTTCTTATTGCATCATATTTTCCTCCACCCTTTCTTGGTCTTCACTGTCAACTATACCAGCTTTACTGGCTCTTTGTTTTCTTCTTCCACTCCATTTTTGTACCTTTTTCCATGCTCTCTGATCTCCTGATCCTATTTAGCCAGGCCTCCAATCAGTTTCTTTTTATTCAAATCTATCCTAAAGACTCAGTTGTTCTGTGAGGCTTGCAAATGCTAACCCAGACAAATGTCTCCTCCATTCTGTGTGACATCAAAAGAAGAGAAAAGTTGGAAGGAAGGGTGGGGAAGAAAATCAAATAATAAGCGCAGTATTTATTTTTTGTTAAGAACAGTGCTTATGAATAAAATCACCAGTACTTAATAAATGTTACATGACCCATGTGACTGATTCCAATTCCATCCTGATGTAAACAGAGTTAATTCTGGAGAAGACTCCTACTAAATCAATTAACCTATTGCACAGTCTGATAACGAGCAAATTTAGCTTTTTAAATCTTCATACATTCAGCTGGGTGTTGAAGTTAAGAGTGTCATTTTTTTCTTCTTTGTATGTCTGGTATATCTTATAAACTTTAAATTGAATTACCTGAGTGTCTTGATCCTTAGGACCTTTTAAAAACATACATCCTGTTATGTATTTTAATTTGAATTGAAAGGAAACAAAAACATTGCAAACTCTCCTACCATGTTAACTTGATAACTGGGTCAATTTATTTCACTAAAATACTATCTCTAGACTTTGCGAAGAAGGTCAAAGGGGTCCCAGATATTGACTATCTCAGGGACCTGCCTGTAGGATCATTGCCATCTTTTTATGTATGACTGACGCTGTAGTATTTTGAGAATGTATTGGAGAATTAAGCAGGCTGACTTATTGTATTCACTTTGCTCTCATGCTGCAATAATGATGGGCAAAAGTGAGGTTTTCAGCATCTTTAAAACTTACTTTCTTCTCAAATGTCTCAGAACTTAGTTCTTCTGTTTCAAAAGCTGATTGTAGAAAGGGATTTGGTTTTTAACTTTTAAAGGGGAAAAAATAACAATTTTGTTTACATACATACTCTGGGTTGAGAACTCCCTCCCTCCCCCACTGGAAAAAATACTGATCTCTAATAAGGTGAAATGTTTACTCATAACTGCTTGTTGCTAAATATTAGGAGTCAATTGTGAGGATGTGTCTGACTCCTAGACCTAGGGAACGTTTGTAGTACGGTGTAGTATACTGCTCTCGTCCCTTCACTTGCTTTTTTTTTTAGGCTCATCCTAACAAGAATTTATGTATTCTTTTAAAAAATAACAAAACAAAAAAAAATTACCTATTCCAAAGTGACTGCTAAAGGTAGTAACAGGTGCTGGGCTGGTATGGATGTACCTGTCGGTTCATAGATATGGTTCCCATTTAAACCACTGCAGAGTCAAGAACATCTTGATTGCCTTTTATTTTAATATATCAAAATATTATACAGACAATGGTGAAACCTGTATGAATGAGGAGGATTGAGT